ACTGAAATTTATTTTAAATAATCTTAAAATTGGGAATTCAGATTTGCTTTGGTATTTTGATTATGGTTATATTTAGTTTCACAAACATAAAATTTTAAAATTTAAAATAAAATTTAATATTAAGAAAACAAAAATTTTAATAATGATAAAATTATTTTATTAAGTGATGTTTATTGTTAAATTTATTTTTAGTTTTTAATATCTCTTAAAATAACCACTACATAAAATTGTGATTGTATTTGAAAATAATATGATATAAGTAAAATATTATTTATAAATAATTTTCTGTAATTGAAAGGTATTATAGTCAACTAAATATATGAAAAATAAATTCAATAATACTAATTATAAACTATTTTTATTACTCTAAAAGTATATTTATGTTATTTAAAAATATTTTTAAATGTATTATTACTATTTTGTGAACTTTCCTTTTTATGAAATCATATTATATATACATATATTTTTCGTTTTCAATTTGTTTTTATGACTTTATAAAAAAATTCCTTTTTATTACATATATTTTTGGAAATTTTTGAAAAGGAAACTATATAAAAAATTAATAATATTATTTTAATTATTTTTAATTCATTAAGGGTATCAATGTAATCAACCATCGTGAGAGTTAACGTGAGAGCGACATATAGGAAACTGACTTCTCAAATAATATTATAGAGATTCATATTAAAGAGTGAGGGTCTGATTGGTATAACCGCAGCGGTTGCGGATATTTACGGATGGAGATGGTTGCAGTTTTAAACGTTAGTAAGAGATTTGGACGATTGGTACATCAGTTAAAATTATTGCGTTTGTGGAATACTTATGACTTATTAACTACCAAATGCAGCAATGATTAAATAATAGATTAACAAGATTAACATTTTATATAATTATAAAAATAGAAAACCTTATTTTTATAATAAATATAAAAACTATTTTTGTTTTGAAGCTTTATAATATAAATAAAATATGATATATATATATATATCTATATATATATATATTTATATTTCTATTATTTAATTTAAAATTTTTGATTTAATATTTTATTTTTATATTTATATAGTTTTTTGAAGATTTTTTTTTTTAATTCTCCCGTAACAGTTGCAACCGTAAACGTTAGCTGAAACCAGCTTTGAATTTTAGAGGTTTAGAGAGATTTGAAACAGTTTATGACATTTTCTTGTGATTGTTGCAAAATGCCAACAACCGCTACTGACTGCAAAAGCTGCGTTTGCGAGTGATAGCGGGAAAAAAGTCAAGCTCTCAACGTAGAGCTAACACCCAATCAGAATTTTAATAGAATAAATTTAAGTTTAAAGAAACGGTTGGAAATGATCCTTTTTAGTAAATCTGTAAGATAATTTTTTTTTTTGAATTTGGAGCTAATATAGGTCATGTTTTTGGATCTCTGTAGTAGTTTCTATCAAAATGCCTTATCTTGCAAGAAATAGTTACTTGTTCAAAAATTTACGTTTCTCTAGATAGAGTTTCATCAATTTTACAATAAATGTTGCAAACTATGAACTTTTGTGCTTTCATCATTCTCTGTTGTGCATTTGACCCAATCAAACTGATAATATTGATGATGTTCTTGTTGCTATGGATTCTCTGTTTCCATGTTTATTGTTAACACAAATCAGCAAAAAATAAATATTGGCAGGTATGAGTATAGAAGGGCAGATGGTGTACAGATCAAGAAGAAGCCAATAGAGGTGACTGCTCCAAGACGCAACTCGATGATGAGACCTTATTACCTCAAAGGTTTGGTAATTAATAATTGTCGTCCTTACCCTTTTGTAAGGTTACTCTTTTGTATTCAAAAACCTTAATTTGATCTTCTGGTGAGAGAGTTGGGTGAGTGGTGAGAGCTTGGTGAGTGACAAAGCTGGATCGTACGATCTTGTATCATGTTGCTCCGTACCAAGATTTCGTTAATAGTCTTTGGAACTCTATTTTCTCTGTGTCTTTACTTTTCTGCAAACACAAATAATAACAAAGAGAGAATACCAATACGTGTTAAAGAATGGACTAGTAACTTGATACATAAGCTAAACCACTACAATAATGTTCATGAGATATAAAAAATGTCAAATATAATAGAGATTCTATAAATTAATATTTAATAAATTAATAAATATTATAAAATAATAAGATAATAAATTTTTATAAAACTATATGTAAATATATGTTCTCATTAAAATTTAATAATTTATATGTGTATTCGTTTTATATAGTACAAATAAACTATTATATTTTTCATTTCTTTCATAACTATTTTTTTATAACTGAATTGTGTTTATATTTTCTTAACACTTAAAATATATATTGATAAGATTTAGTAAAATTTGATCTAAAACTATATTTAAATTCTAAAAAACATGTTTATATACACCATATAATATAATAAATCCAATATGACTAATGAATTAGAAAATTATTAATTTATATATACTAAAATCATATAGTTTCCTTATTTTAGAAAAAAATATATTTTAAAATAGGAAATATAAAAAAACAAACATTTTGTACATTACTAAATTAATAAAAACAATAGTCCAAACATTATTAATTTATATTATTAAATTATAGAATTTTTACCGTACATCCTAATGTTAATTTCTGGTGAAACTTTTGTTTTTGTTTCGAAGCACCATTTCCTCAGAACTTCACGGGTGCGGTTAGGGGTGGGCGTTCGGGTACCCGTTCGGGTTCGGGTCGGGTATTTCGGATTTTCGGGTATTTCGGTATTAGGGTTTAGAACCCGTTCGGGTATTTTTACATATCGGGTCGGGTTCGGATATTTTTAGTTCGGGTTCGGTTATTTCGGGTCGGGTTCGGATATTTAGATTTTGGAAGAAAAATTTCAAATTCTTTATTACTTAAGTTTTATGTATTTAAAATTTAACTATTAACTTAACTGTTTTTAAAATGTTCTGTAAGTTAGACAATTAATAAGTTTGAAAATAAATTATTGAAAAGAAAAACCATTATTTTGGTTGTTATTTTCGAATTTTGGATGCAAATTTTGTTTAAAGTATGAAATAAGAAGCTTAATATGTATTTTAAATAAGTAACAAATTACTTTTTTTACAATTATATGTATATTATCTGATATTAAACTATTTATAACATTAATATAAATAGTTTTAATAAAATGAGACAAAATAAACTAGGAATAAATAGGTATATATACATATGTTTGGTTATCTTCGGATATCCGTTCGGGTTCGGGTATTACCCGTTCGGGTTCGGATATCCAAACTCTCCTAACTCAATACCCGTTCGGGTATTTTGGTACTTCGGTTCGGATATTTCGGATCGGATTCGGGTATGAGTTCGGGTATTGGATAAAGTGCCCACCCCTAGGTGCGGTGAAGAAGATTATTAAACAGCTATTCCCAGTTTATGCACAGATATACCATTCTCATTTCCAGAAAATCGAAGCCCTTAAAGAAGAAGCTCATCTCAACACTTGCTTCAAACACTTCATCCTCTGTACTCATGTGAGTTTCTCGCTTTTCATTTACTCTACTTATCATCTTGGTGGTTAGAATAATTAGGAAATGTTATACAAACATTGCAGTTAAAATACACTCTGAAATTCAACCTTTTTGCTTTTTGGGTTTTTATATGAACATACACTGAAACTCTATAAATTAATAATGTTGGGACTACATCAAAAAATTTTTTTATTAATTTAGAGAGATATTAATTTATCGATATACTAATCGAACCAAAAAATCAATTTGAGACTATAAAATTAAATTATTTTATAGAGATATTTAGTATATATTAATTTATCCAATATTAATTTATATAGGTTATACTGTATGTAGCTAAGAAATTACACGTTTTAGATTTCATTAGGTTGTTTTAATATATTTTGTGAATTTTTGGTTTTGACAGGAGTTTGGACTGATTGACGAGAAAGAACTCGCTCCACTACAAGAGCTCATAGAATCTATCATTTCACCTTATTGAGCAAAGACAAGATTTCTCGGATTTTATAAAAAAAACTAATTAATGGTAATATGTTTTTAATTATAACTCTCTGTATTGTTTTAAGCTTTTCTTAATCATCTGTAAATTTAAGAATCTACAATGTAAAAAAAAATTAAGAATCTACAGTGCAAAAAAAAAAAACTCTAATCTACGACTACCCTTTACTTAGAGATGTTGTTGCCCTTCATCTTCATATATACTCACTATATTCCTCATTGTTAGTACCCTTATAAGAGCATCATTATCGTGGTCCTTACACCTGGTCCTTAGCATTTTTGGACCGAAAAGAAATGAAAAAAACTTAAATTTACTAAGAAATGTTGGCGAAAGTCCTTGATTAAAAAGTTTTTGGGCTGGTCATTCGTTACAGGTGGCACAATGCTACTGGAGAAAGAATCGGTGTAGGGTAAAAACCTTTTCTCGTCTCACAACTCTCTCTTGTTCTCTCCCGACTCATGCATTGACGGCGAAAGAGTTCCACAGTGTTCGTCCACCGATTTCATCCCGATTCCAACAATCTTTCGGTTATTTGGCTCCCTCGAGACCAATCTTTTGTCCGACCGAAAGCTTCTCCGCTGATTTCAATCAAAAAGGTATGTCTTTCTCCACCGCTTTGAGATTCAAGTCGCTGTTATTATCGATCTGCCTCCTCCGCGTATGGGTCTTGTTGTTGTTTGTTGTGATTGCATGATTCCCGTTTGTAGATTTGCAGATTTTTGGTTTTGGTTACTTGTCATTTCTTAGATTGGCCCATGAAATGATTCCCGTTTGTTGATGAAAGAGTTATGGAGTAGATCCTTTCATTAGACTGTTCTGTTATTGTTATGGAGTAGATGGTTTCCTAGATCGTTTCATTTGCTGTGTTGTGAAGAAATAATTCTCGTTTATAGATTCTCAGATTAAATGATTCCCTTTAATTTGTTGATGAAAGAGTTGGCCAATGAAATGTTTCTTGTTTGTTGATGAAAGAGTTGTTGTTATTGTAATATGGCCGATTGTAGGTAGTGGTTACTTGTCGTTTCATGTCACTGTAGTTGTTAATGCTAAAATGAATATAGAAGACAACCAAATACTCCTTTCTGCTACACATTTGGTTAAATTAATTAACTAGCGAAGAAGTTAAGTTTTTTAGAACGTTATCTTCATAATTTTGTATTGTTGTAACTAAAATGCATTGCCATGTCTGATTGTGTAACCAAATCTCTTTTAAATTTAATGAAAATGTAATTGATACTTGACAGTTTTGTATTTGTTAGATGTATTGTACTTTTTAGATGTGTAATAACTCATGATTAGACTTTGGTAGATAATGATTAGGTGGTTGTGAGTTATTACTTGTTACCGTTTCAACTATTAAATCCCATCCTTAATTCATTCTTTCTAATTATCTCAATACTCTTCTTTCTCTCCTCTTTTCTTAACAAGAACATTTTCTGGATACTCTCATCTTTGTTCTTGGTGCTATGGATTCAAGGAATCCTGATATGGATTCAGTGAATCCATTTAGCCAATATCGTAGTTATGTAGGGCTTCTTCACAGTCAAAGAGAAAATGTAGTTCACAAAAACTTTCCTTATGGAAGTTTTACCTCTAGTGTAAACATTGGAGCCTCAGAAATTCCTTCTTTCAGTTCTCAACAATCTGAGGCTCCAGCTGTACCTGAAGACACACCCACGGAGCGTAGGGAGAAAAAGAAATGGACTCTAGCTGATGACAAGGTTTTTAATAAGCGCCTGACTAAACACGTCTAAGGACGTTGTTGTTGGAAACGAACAAAAGTCAGGCACCTTCTTGAAATGAGTAGGAGAATACTACGCAGCAAGTCCTCATGCTATAGAGGGTGGTGATGCGAGCTCTCATTCCCATTGTAAGCAGAGGTGGTCAAAGATCAATGACCACACGAACAAGTTCTGTGGAGCATACGCTGCTGCAGAGAGACAAATCACCAGCGAACATAATGACAACGACGTTCTAAAGGTGGCTCATGAGATCTTCTACTCCAATCACAAGACAAAGTTTACCCTAGAGCATGCATGGTGTATCTTGAGGTTTGAACATAAATGATTAAGCCTAAACACTCCTAAAACTACTTCTAGTGGTAAGAGAAAACCAACTGACGCCGTCTAAAACTACTTCTAGTGGTAAGAGAAAACCAACTGAAGTCCTTTCGCAAGCTTCAAGCATCAATGTTGGTGACCATGAGATGCGGCCCGAAGGCATCAAGGCTGCAAAAGCAAACAGGAACAATGGTAAAGGGAAGGCTTTTGAGGATTATAAGAGCATGTGGGAGCTGAAAATGGAAGATTTGGCTATGAAGGAGAAACTATCCAAGCTCGCCATATTTGACACTCTCCTTGCTAAAAAGGAACCACTTAGTGAGAGTGAGGAAGTTGTCAAGAATAAACTCCTTGCCGAGAGTTTCTAACTACGAATGTGATCTTTTAACTTGTAGTTGTCTTTGAATTTGATGTTTGAACTTGTTGTTTTATTTGAACTTCCTAGTGTACTATGTATGGTAGTGTTTTATGAAATAAAAATGTATGTTCTTCGTTGTCTACTATTTAGAGTATTGAATTATGAAACTGAATTTATATTTTAGAATTCTTTTTAATTACAAGAAATTATCTAGAGTTCTTTATAAATTATCTAAATTACTGTCTATGGTTTTCTTTGCAGATTAAGGAACAAATGGGACTGGATTACAGTTATACGCAGCCATCGCTATCGGAGGAGTATGGTGACAACTCAGCCGACAGTGGCTACAGCCAAGCAGAGGCTGATATATTGCTGGACCAAGCTGAGATTGATGCCGTGCGGCGTCACTACCCTCCGCAGCCTGAAGTTGAGTTTGGCTTCCCGAATAAATGCTATTGTGGTGGCAAACTGCTTGTAGCCACATCTTACACAAGAAATGATCCTGGGAGAAGGTACTACAGCTGTGAGAACGTCGATGACGGAGGCTGCCATGTTTGGAAATGGTGGGATGTGGCAGCTACAGCAGAGATCAGAGCCAGATCGACACAGTGTGACCAGCTCTCTGGTAAGGTTGATTATCTATCGTTTGTGAGTGACTGTGAGGGATAAAACTCACTTTCTAATTGAGGTTAGGTTAGGATTGGGGAGAAGACAATCGTGGGCTGAATCCCTTAAGAACTTAGAGAATGAATACGTTGTTTATATTGATTTTTGGTAATAAAAGAGTTTACAAGGATGATCTTGATGATCTAATAGAAAGAACAATGATTGATCAAAAATGATTGAGAACAATG